AAAAGGTAAAATTTATTTCTAAATTAAGTCCGAGGCTCCGTACGCTGGTTTCCGACGTTCTCTGGCAAACATTCCACCGGAGTAGGCTAAGGCTTTGAGATTTTATGTCAATATCCGCCCATTCTTCACTTCTGTACGAGCTGTGCAATAGAAACTGAAGAAAGAAGCATCGTTTTCTAAAATTCCATTTCATATTTGTTATATATCACTTTATAAAACTTTGTGTTTAAAACAAAATGCTGCTTTATGCAAATTTGCATCCTTTTTTAATATAATTTCCTACTATCCATATTTTGCTATTATTATACAAAATATTATAACATCTTGTATCATTATTGTTTTTGAAAGACAATAGAAGAAGCTTGTAAAATTTTATAAGACTTTGACGAAGCGTATCAATCATTTACACAAAAAAAATGTTTTTTAATTGTTTAGATAAACACACAATGGTAGTAGGATAATATCAATCTATCACACTTGGCATCTATTATTTTCTGATTGATGCGTTACTGTATGGACATTCACTGTACCTGATGCATAAAACATCACAGTTCAAACATGACGCGCTGCAACTGGATCACCGTAAAAAAAGATCGGAACAGTGCATGTTAATATCGAGGAACGCAAACGAAAAATGATTGATTCCGATTCTACGATGATCTATAAATAACTACAGACACTTTTGAAAATGGTCTCTTTGTGATATTGCGATAAATTCTTAAAGACATCAAGTTATATGTAATACATCAAGTTATATGTAAAGCAAAAATTTCTTTTTTACAATATAACAGAGCGTTTTTTTTTTTCGTTAAAATCTTGTTTTTCAAAGACAGAAACTTCAATTATCCAAACTTTTTTCGAGTTAAATTTCGAGCACAAAGAAGATGCTAATACTGAGTCGACTGAAATTCGTCTTTCCGAATGACATCCAGCATACATCAACATCATGGGACCAATCGAAGGAGAGGCTTTCTCTTGGATCATGGTTCGCCGGTGTACCCATGTCCGCAAGTTCCCCATCGTCCTCTGGAGGGGATATCTATATAGCCTGTCCTTTCTGGGACAGCCCGTTCAAACTGCTCGTGTTCCTAAGACCGCACGTGTTACCACGGTGTCGACGAAACATTGCGCGTATACAGGGTTTCGCTGCGAGCTCCAAAGTGACGAGAAAATCGAGCTTCAATTACGATAAAATCGGGGTACGGCCGGGGGCGTGTGTGCCGGTGTGGTGCAATGTGAGCGAGTGTGGGGGTACGCGATCAGTAAACAAAAGCGGTATCGTCTCGTGAAGTTCGTAGAAGTTGAGAGAAAGGAGGGAAAAGGGAAAAAGAGGAAGCAAAAGGAAACCGGTAGTAGGTCGAGGGTGGTGCTGTGACCTAGTGCGGAAGTACAGCCATCCTGCACAATGGTGAGTCCGCAGATATCGTAATGATTGTGATAGTGCGTTAAAAATCTTCGTGTAATTTCACATCCGCAATAAATTGCAGTTACCGATACATACAATTATTTTTTCACTGCAATCAGTATAAAATAGAATAATAATTGTACAATATTCTCAAAAATATTAAATTAGTACAATCATTCGTTTTAAATCGAATATTAGAAAAGAAAAATTAATATAATTATATTTTAACATTTTTGTATACAAAAAAATTTTCGATATGACAATTTGTCGAAAAAATATTGAAGATATATATAAGGAATTTTTTTCAAACAATTAGTTTTACGTAAGATATTATAAAATATAAGATACACAAGATACATAAGATATTATAAAATATAAGATTACACATAGATACAAACACACACACACACACACACACACACACACACACACACACACGCGCGCGCGCGCGTAGATAAATATGCTCCTTTTATTTCACATGATGTCAAAAAGTAAAAGTAATCTATTATTAATGTTTAATACATTCACAAAATGACAAAATAAATCGCTGTACAATTTCATGTGAAAAATTGGCACAAAGAGAATTTCACTTTGTCCTGTATAAATTTGCATGGATAGTTTGCTCAATTATAGACGTCCATTAACAGAACATGTACGTAATTAACTGTAGAAAGGTTGACGTTAGGTTAACGTTTCTGGTTGATTTCGACCTCTTTGAAGGATAAAACGTGTAACTGAAAAACGTTTTATTATAATAAATATCAATGTACACATGTACCTACAATTTTCACGTTATTTAAATAATTTAAATATACTCGAATAATGAAAAATGTAAAATGTAATGAAACGCTCTATTTTCAAACCCGTATGATTTCGTAATTGATTTATTTAGAAACGATTTTATTTTTTATCAATTTATCAATTCACTTTATATTTATATAAACGATCTTATTAATTCTCTTACGAAGAAGTTTAGATTATTTTTCAGCACAAAAATGCTGAAAATGGAGAAATAAAGTATAAACGTTTTTATTTCTAAATTTCAGAATCTTAGTTTCACTTTTATAACACTTGTATAATTTGTATGCGTATGTTTTTTAAATTGATGTAATATTTTCTTCGATATGCAAAAACAATTTGAAATATTCGAAACATTCGGCGACTACACTCTTTCAAACACCGAGATAATTGTAAAATAGACCAGTGTGTCGATGCGTCTCCTTCGTTATTACGCTTTCTAACTTACGCTCTGTACGCCGATGCTGTAAAATTTCACAGTACATAATTTATGATTATTAAACAGCCTAAGAAATACCACCGGATATTAAATAGCGATAACATTCGGGATTTAGAAGCGCGTCTCCCTATAGGCGTAGCTAATAAAACATTTCACTCGCAGATAATATCGATAAATCGTTTCACCTTTCGCTTACAGTTTATACCTATAAAGATACAGTTTTGTACTCATATTCCGTTCAATCAGCTGTAATTGGGTCGTATATCATGCGTGTGTAATTTACAATTGCCTTTTTTCTTCACGTTACAGCCCTATCCTATACAGCCTATATCCAGATCTTGTTTAAACACAGATTTTATTAAGGAATTGCGGTGTACTGCGAAATCAAATGAGCGGTCACGTACAATATGGCAGAAAAATATAAACTACGTCAAGTTTTAATGAGCGTGTCGAAGTTGGACGACGACGAGCGTCACATAATATGTTCAACGTGAACGCGTTAAGGATCGCCGAATCTATAACACAAAAAGATAAAAATAAGAAAAAAAAAAAATTGGAAAGAGAAAGCAGCACGAGTTCTTACGTGAAATGTCATTTGTATCGATTTGTATCGACCGCCGATGTCTTTCTTCCATAAAGCACGTTTCACGAGTATCGAAATCCCGTTTGAAACGGCGTCGTTAAACGGAATTGTATAACGTCGAGTGACTATGTATAACGAGCGAATGTTGCTGGCAAATGAAGCGCATTTAGCGCGTAATTTCCATGCTTTTCGGGGGCATGAGGCGGAATCGAGCTAAGGAAGAATGGCGACGCGATAAAAGAAAGACGTAGAGAAAGACGGTCGCCGACCTCCTGAATTGCGACACGAGGAGCGAAGAGCTCCTTCACACACTGACCCGCATTTCGCTCCCGCTGGCGAATAATTCCGAGACTTTTGCCTATTATTCGATTTTCCGTGGAGGTAGCGTTTCCTTTCTCCCGGCCCGGGCCGTTTCGACAGGGCATTCAAGTGAAATCTGAATATGAGTTTAATATCTCCGATCGCGTGATTTAATGCCCGAGTTATAGTTCGCGGCCTACTTGCCTCATCTACCACTACACATGTGAAATTTCTCCGATCTGTTGTATAAGCGAGTAAAAATATCCGTGGTTATGCGAAAACATTCCGCGGATTTTCCTATTTTCGCGTATTAAAGTCCCTTAGTTCGAACGAATTAATCTGGTGCTCAGATAAAAGATATATCTACGCAAAAGATCTTGAAATATATCTTATCTGATAATAGAATTAGATCAAAATTAATTGCCCTTGTAAGATCTATGACTTGTAATTAATTTTTCAATTTATGAAAGATATAAAAAATTCTTCAAATGTGATACTCAAACAGTCTGTCTTAAAATATGTACTCCCATTATTAAACATTTTATAAAAGTACGATTTCTGTTATCCCGTATTTTAAGCTTCAGCATACGAAAAAACAGAAATCAATACTATTTTTTAATGGATAACAGTATTGAATACGATAATTGAAATCATATGCCAAAAATCTGTGTATATAATCTTATTTCTTTTTAAAAAATTCAAAATTTTATGCAATAACTCTATAACAGACTCAATAACTAGAGGCTGACATTTATTGGCTTTACATCTTAATTTTCTATGAAAATAAACATTACGCTTATAGATTACGCTTTAGATGATAATTAGGTCGAAACAGTTTCGTTTTCCTAAATTGGGCAAATTTCACGTTTTGCCGCACATTCATTGTTCATGAGGATGTTCAGCGTACCAACCGCGTTCGTATGTTTAATCTTAATTAATGATAACACAAATACACACAATTATTAATTAATTAAACATTTGCTTGCGATCTCGAAAGAGAAGACAATACATTTTCCAAAAGCTTTAGTGAAGTGAAC